TATATTCCTGTCACTTGCAAGTACTGATCTGATTGTGGTTCTCAGGGCCTACATACATCAAGTATTTAATATATCTGGTACTTAGCTCCCTTGACCCCTAATTACTGAGTTGTTGAGTTTACCTGGCTGTCTGATCTGGCTCTCAAACCTGAGCACCATTCTCTGGGTGTGCTCCAAGCAGTACAGGTGACACAGGACCATTGCAGGCTTCATTCTAGGTGCCAGGAAGTTCTAAATGTACACTTAAGCATTTTCTGTGTACAAATATTTATGTGTCTGTGCTGGTATTGGGGTTTGAACTCAGGGCTTTGTGCTCTTGCTTAGATTTTTTTTTCCTTTCTCAAAGCTAGTGCTCTAGCACCTGAACTACATTCTACTTCTGACTTGTGTCTGCTTAGTTGGAGAGAAGAGTCTAAAATACTAGTTTGCTCAGGCTGGCTTTGAACTTCCATTCTCAGATCTCAGCCTCCAGAGTAGCTAGGATTGTAGGGGTGACCATTAGCACCCCACCAGAATGCCTCTTTCGTAGTTACATAAAGCCACTCTCAGGCCTCACAATCACCAAAAGCCCATTCAAAACTCCAGGCCCAAGCCATGGCCTCTCTGATCTTCCCGCTCCCCATTGCTCTATGTTACCTCATGCATAGAAGTGAGAGATACTATGACCTAAGGAGCAATCACTCCTCCAGCACTCCTCCTCTCTGGCCTCTTCCATCATCCTCTCCCCGAGGCCCAGGTGGAGCTGTGTCCACCCTGACCCATTGGGCTTCTGCAGCTAATAGCTCCAGGGTCTGCTCTGCTTGTTTGACCCCCCTCAAGTCCTCCTTACCTAGCATTACCCAGCCTTCCCCTTAATTACACTCTCAACCAGTTCCTCCCAGATCATCCCTCAGTGCCCAGCCAGGCCCTGGTGATCCTGTGGTCTAGCTGGCTTTCTGAAGCCACAGGGCCCAGAGTTGAAAATCTTGAAGCTGTCATATTCTATTTCCTTCCAAATTAATTCTCCAATGAATACTGTCCTTTCAGTAATGCAGTGCAGGCTATTTCATACATCATTCCTTTATCTTTGAGTCTGTAATATGTGTGCGCACACACATGTGCAAGCATTCACACGCATGTGTGAACACCCTAGTCCCAGGGCTTGAACTCAGGGACCCGCCCTCTTGCTTGGCTTTTTGTTTTTTGGGGTTTTTTTGGTCGTGGGGCCTGAATTCTGGGCCTGGAAGTTGTCCCTTCAACTCTTGAGCTAAAGGCTAGTGTTCTACCACTTGAGTCTCAGCCCCACTTCCGGCTTTTTCTGCTTATGTGGTGCTGAGGAATCGAACCCAGGGCCTCATGCATGCAAGTCAAGCACTCTACCACTGAGCCACCTTCCCAGCCCCTCTTGCTTGGCTTTTTCTCTTAATGTTGGCACTCTACCACTTGAGCCACACCTCCACTTTTGCCATTTTGCTGGCTCATTAGAGATAAGAGTCTTCTGAACTTTACTGCCTGGACTGAATTTGAACTGCAATCCTCAGATCTCAGCCTTCTGAGTAGTTAGGATTACAGGTGTGAGCTGCTGGCACTTGGCTTATGTAAAGTTTTTCATCTCAGGAAATAATTGACATACCTAAGGTATGCCTTTGACACCTAGGTTAATGTAGAGAGGGAGAGAAAGATATGAATCCCATTTTATATACATACACACACCCCTATATACAGATCTAGGCAGACATACCAACAGAATCTTTTTGTAGTACTAAGAATCAAACCCTGAACTTTGCATATGCTGTAAGCTGAGCTACACCCTCAGCCCTGAATGGACTTTCCAGTTTAGACAGTACATACAGAGGAAGGATTTTTTTGTCAGTGGTGGAGCTTGAACTCAGGACCTGGGTGCTGTCCCTGAGCATTTTTGCTCAAGGCTAGTGCCCCACAACTCTGATCCCTAGCTCCACTTCTGTATTTTGGTGGTTAATTAGAGAAAAGTCTCAAGGACTTTCCTGCATGGGCTGGCTTTGAACCATGATCCTCATATCTCAGCCTCCTGAAGTTAGGATTATGGGCATGACCCACCAGTGCCCAGCTGGCTCAGAGGCAGGATTTTTAACTGCAAGCTTGTGACTCCTAGATCCATGCTCTCTGGAATTCTCAGGAATACTTATCCAACTTCCTCTTATCCACAACTGCAAGCACAGGCTGGGGAAAGCCTTGGAGGTTCCCCTTGCCCTAGGCTTCCCCCTAGTGGAGAACAGGGGGAGTGCTCAGTAGCCGGGAGGGTTAAGTTCTGAACTCATCTACTCATCCTGGATGTCTCTGCTGAAGTGACAACCCAGGGACTTACTCCATACACAGTCACAGCGAGATGGCCCCTTATGACATGGGACACCTATAGACTAGCAGGAATTGGACAGGCTACAAGGATGTGTGTCCACAGCCAGGGGTCAGAGAACATAAGCCAAGGTAAAGTCACTAGAGAAGGAGAAATGCCCTTTCCTTAAAAGAGTTCCGTCTGGCCAGGAGGTCTGTCATGAAGGAGGCTGAGGGTGACCAGGAGTAGATCTCAGAAGGTGCTGTAAAGAAAGGGTGTGACCCACTAGGCAGCCACAACTGTAACCTGGGAGAATGATCATGGAGCCGGGGATATCATACAAACAACTGGTGAGCACTGGCTGTGTTAGGCACTACTCCTGCTGGGGACACGGATGTCTGCCTTCACGGAGCTCACCTAGACAGATAAGAAATATGGAGAGAGAATGGCAAACACTAATGAATGCCTGAGGAAAAGACAGGACCAGGTGTATCCGTTTTTTGAGGGTTGCTTTAACAAAATAGCCCAGACTGGATGTTATTTCCACAAAATGCAGGAGGCTCAAGTCCCAGAACAGAGGCTTGACGGGGGTGGTTCCTTCTGCGTACTCTTTCAACTTGCAAAGAGCTGCCTTCTCCCACTGGCTTCCAATGGCCTTTCCTATGTCTGTGCTCAGGCTTCCTTCATTCTTTCTGTCCTTCCTTTTCTCTCTCTTCCTCTTTCTTTCATTTTGTATCAGTATTGACTGGGACTTGAACTCAGGGTCTGTGCACTGTCCCTTACCTTTTTTTTTTTTTTTTGGTCCGGTCGTGGGGCCTGAGCTCTGGGCCTGGGTGCTGTCCCTCAGCTCTTCAGCTCAAGGCTAGCACTCTACCGCTTGAACCACAGCGCCACTTCCGGCTTTTTCCTTTTTGCTTATGTGGTGCTGAGGAATCGAACCCAGGGCCTCAGGCATGCAAGGCAAGCACTCTACCACTGAGCCACCTTCCCAGCCCCTGTCCCTTATCTTTTTAACTCAAGGCCTGGAGTTCTACCACTTGAGCCATAGCTCTGCTTCTGGCTTTTTGCTGGTTAATTGGAGATAAGAGTCTCATGGACTCGTCTGCCTGGGCTGGCTTTCAAGTGTGATCGGATCTCAGCCTCCTGAGTTAGGTTGATTACAGGTGTGAGCTACCAGCACCTGGCTTCCAAATTTCCCCTATGAAAGGATACCAGCCAGCTGAATTGGGGCTTACCTGTATGACCTTATTTATTGTAAGGACTTCTCTCATACGTCTGAAAGCCTAGAGGTCAGGACCTCCATGGAGGATGCGGTACACTCCACACATGAGGTAGTAGAGTGTAACTAAGGCTAGAGGCAAAGGGAGGGAAGATCTGAGATATTTTGCATATGGATATCTTAAATATCTAAATGGAGATGTTGAGTGACAGTTATGAGGCTGGAATTCAGGGGGAAAGATCTAAATTGAAGGTACAAGCTTAGGAGACAATGTGTATATTAAGTTTAAAACTATGGAACTGCTTGGGATTACCCACAGGGGAAGTGGAGATGTGGCTTAAGTGGTAGAGCCCCAACTTGAGTGAAAAAGCTTAAGGCACAAAGCCAAGGATCTGAGTTCAAACCCTATTATGAACATACTCATGCATGCATGCATGCATGCGTGCACACACACACACACAAACACACATATCACCCACAGGGGCAGGAGGATACAACCCAGGGACAGATCAGGAAAGGGTAGATTCAGCAGAAATAGAGAAACGGAGAAACTAGAGGAAAACCAAGAAAATATTAGCAGAAGCCAAATGAAGAAAACATCCCAAGAAAGCTGGCGAGAAGCTGAGTAAGACAGCAGTGTTGATCACAGAGGCACCCGAGTTTTATAAGGGTTATTTTCATGGAGTGAAACACTTGTGCTCACTTTCTTATGAAATAAGAAATACAACAATAAGCTGGGCATTCATTGGTGGCTCATGCCTGTAATTCTAGCTACTCAGGAGGTGAAGATCTGAGGATCAAGGTTCAGAGGCAGCCCACACAGGATAATCCATGAGACATTTACCTCCAAATAGCCAAAAGCCAGAAGTGGAGCTGTAGCCATGTGGTAGAGTGCCAGCCTTGAGCAGAAAACTCCAAGCAGGGGGCAGGGAGATGAGAAGGGATAGGAAGGGGAAAAAAATAAAATAATAAAATTAAAAAAAAAAAAGAAAACTCCAAGCAAATGGAGTTGTAGTTCAAAGTTGTAGAGCACTAGTTTTGAGCAAAAAAAGCTTAGGGACAGCATCCAGGCCCTGAGTTCAACCACCACGACTGACAAAAAAAAAAAAAAATCCAAGCAAAAGCATGAGACCCCCGAGTTCAAGCCATCATACCAACACACACAAAATTAAGTACTCTTTTTAAAAATTTATTTATCTTTTTTTTTGGGGGGGTCCAGTTGTGGGGCCTGAACTCTGGACCTGAGCGCTGTCCCTCAGCTCTTCAGCTCAAGGCTAGGGCTCTACCACTTGAGCCACAGCACCACTTCCGGCTTTTTTCTTTTTGCTTATGTAGTGCTGAGAATCGAACCCAGGGCCTCATGCATGCAAGGCAAGTGCTCTACCACTGAGCTACCTTCCCAGCCCAAAATTAAGTACTTTTAACTTGTGTTCCCCATCCCCAAACACACAAAGCTGAGGCATATAAAGCATTTTATACAGGCAATAATTCTATAAAGGCATTTTATTTGCAAATCAAGTTGCTTGTATAAAGAGTCACTGTCCATTCCTAAATTCCACGGCCTGTGCCGGGGAGCAGAGCGTGTGGTACTTCTCTGGGCTTGTGGTGTAGAGGGACATGGCGTTCAGGAACAGCTCGAGCGGGCAGAGCTTGTCGGGGCACCCTCTGGGCACCTGCTCCTGAGGAAGAGACAGAACTCAGCGGGTCCACTGAGGACCCCATTCCTGCTGCCGTCCCCAGCTGAGGCCAGTAACCCAAGAAATATACAATGCACAGCCAGGTGGGCACCTCCTACGCAGTCTGCCCCCAGAGTTTAAAGCACGACCTTCTGCTTCTAAAAGTCACTTAGGAAAGACTCCATCGTCTCTCTGAGCTCAAGGTCCCAGCGTGTCAGCCATGAGGGAGTGTCGTAGCCACTGAGGAGTCTAAAGACACACATCAGCTCCCCAAACACACCACTAATTTTCAAAATCAGCAGGATGTCACATCCACTCAGGAGAAAGGCCAGACACCACATGCAAGTTCTGCCCTAGCCCTAGGCTGCAGCTGTGAGTCCCCTCACAGGCTTTAGAAGGCAGCTCGGCCCCAGGATGGAGAGCTAGTGCTAAACAGGGGAGGAAGGGGATAGGCATGGGTGCATGGCTCTCACCCAGAGATCTTACCTCTCCGTGGTAAAAGAGCTGCACAAACCACTCCTTGGATTTCTGGTGCTGGTAGAGTTCCAGGGTCAGGTCCACAGCAAATGGGGGCCATTTATGGTCAAAAATCCCCAGGGCCATTAAGAGAGGCATAAGGGTCACATCATGGGCTGCATAGAGGTACAGCTTTCTGCAAGGGAGGACATAGGAGGACAGGACATTGCCTAGTTGAACTGGGTATAAAACTTCTGAAACAAAACTTCTTCTGCCCCCATGCCTCCCCTCCAGTTCTCATGGGGGAAGGGGAGGGTGGCCTGGAGAACTCTCCTTGCCAGCTCTGCCCTGCCCACTTCCTCCCTCCCTGGTGAAGTTTCAGGAAGACAATGAGTGAAGGTAGCTGGAGACCAGTCTCTCTGGGGTCTTACTAGCCCATGACGAATGTTTTCCTACTCTTTGCATAAACAATGAGTTTAATAGGGTCAGCTTCCTTCTGTGTCAAAGAGCTTACAGTTTATAGAGAATTAAGTTCATTTCAAAGGATTACTAATAAGTCTGTCTGGCCCCCAAGTCCTTCTCCAAAGAGTAAAGGTGTGGCTCCCTTGGGAAGGATTGGATTTTATTGATGGGCTCGCCACCTAGAACACTGTCACTGAATTCTAAGCTTTTGTTAGCTACAAGGCAGAGTGGCAAGGTAGCCAAAGAGAGCAAGCACTGTAGGATCCTTGCAGGTATTGTGAAAGATTGAAGGGTAACCGGGCATTGCTGGCTTATGCCTGTAATTCTGGTGACTCAGGAGGCTGAGATCTGAGGACTGAGGTTCAAAACCAGACCAAATAGGAAACTCTTTATCTCCAATGAACCAATGGAAGTGGAGTTGTGGCTCAAGTGGTAGAGTGCTAATCTTCAGTGAAAATGCTAAGTGACAGCACAAGACCTGAATTCAAGCCCAGTACAGGTACTAAATTCTTTTTCAACTTTTTTTTTTTTTTTTTTTTGCGTCCGGTCGTGGGGCCTGAACTCTGGGCCTGAGTGCTGTCCCTCAGCTCTTCAACTCAAGGCTAGTCCTCTACCACTTGAGCCACAGTGCCACTTCTGGCTTTTTTCTTTTTGCTTATGTGGTGCTGAGGAATTGAACCCAGGGCCTCAAGCATGCAAGGCAAGCACTCTACCACTGAGCCACCTTCCCAGCCCCTCTTTTTCAACTTTTTTAAAAGATGAAAAAATTAGATACTCCAGCAAAGGATCAACTGGTCTCAGTGACCCCTCTGAATGGGTCCTGTAATCTCTTAGCTGTTCACCTGTTCTCTTGTAGCCTGATGCCTGCCTGCAGCCAGAAGCCCCCACCGCCCTTAGCTGTGCACTGCAGAATCTAGGTGCAGGTACCTCAGCTTGCTGGGAGGAGTGGTAGGGTCCACGGCGCTCAGCAGGTTGCCCTCCAGGATGTGCAGGAATGGGCCGACCGCCATCTGAAGACTTTCCCTGAGAAGAGGGAACAACATTCAAGCACCCAGCAGCCACCCTGAACCCAGGGGATGTAGCTGCATCTATCTTCCAGGACCTCAAAGAGCTCAAAGGAGCTGAGAAGACAAGTCATGTAGAAGAGCAATGGGCAGGAGAGAAGTTCCAGAGGACCTTAGCAAAACAATCAGAAGTAACACTTCCTATGGTTTTTGCTGCTGTGTGTGTGTGTGTGTGTGTGTGTGTGCGCGCGCGCGCACACGCGCGCGCTAGTACTGGGGGTTGAACTCAGGGCCTGGGGCATTCTCCTTTTGCTTCTTCCCTCAAGGCTAGTGCTGTACTACTTGAACCACAGTTTCATTTCTGGCTTTTTGCTTATTAATTGGAGATAAGTGACTCATGGACTTTTCTGCCTGGGTTAGCTTTGAATCACCATCCTCAGCTCACAGCCTCCTGGGCTGCTAGAATTACAGGCACAAGCCACCACACCCAGCCATCACGTCTCTTTATTTGGCACACAGGGTGAGTGGCTGGCCCTAACTTGAGACTCCTGCACTTTGAGCCTGGGGACTACAAGCCCGGTTTCATTCTACATGGTGATGCCACCCAGCAAGTGTGAGTGAGGTTAATGAGCCTCTCCCCTGACACACGGAGGCCTGGCTGGGTGTGACTTCACACTGGCAGCTGCAGAGACATTTCACCTGTCATCCTGTTGCAGTATATGTACAGCTGTGTCCACAGCTCTCTCTTCAATTATCCGTGCGAATGTCCTCAGTGTGGGACAGCTTGGGAGGTTGTGGACCTGAAAGAACCAGAGACACACAGCATTAGAGAGGCTTCTGGAGAACAGAGACTGGCAAGCTCCTCCTCTTCCAGGAAGCCCGCCAGGGCTACCTCCCGCTGTGGAGGCTGGAACAGCTCAGCCAGCCAGGGCCTCAGGGCTCTTCTGAAGCCATGAATTCCTACAGCCCTAAAAGACCAGAACTTAAAACTTGTTAGCCAGGTACTGGTGGCTCATGCCTGTAATCCACAGGAGACTGAGATTTGAGGATTGCAGTTCAAAGCCAGCTGAGACAGAAAAGTCTTTGAGACTTTAACCACCAAAAAGCCAGAAGTGGAAGTATGGCTCAAGTAGGAAGGTACCCCATTGGGTGAAAAAGCTAAGGGACAGAGAGAGACCCTGCAGGCCCCAGTACCGGTGCACAGACACAGACACACACAGACACACACACACACACACACAGAGGCACACGTGCACATACACACACAGTTTCATTACCTGCTCAGCAACCACATTGTCTAGCAGAATCAGGAAGTCCACCTCATCATTCCTGTCGAGGCCCATTCGTGCCTTCACCTTTTTCAGATCCTCTGAGATCCCTGGCTGTAAAGTTGCAGTCTTTTTCTGGGCTCTGACAAAAAAAAGGAAAGTAAGCCCTTATATTGCTACTGTACACTGATGATAATTTACAAAACTGGTTGGTCAACATTGGAGGCTGAATATTTTACTAGTATTATCTTTAAGTAGCTGTACAAAGGGATTGCAAAGCAACAAATCAATTTATGAGTACACTGCCTCTTGAGTAGTGTCATCCCTTCCATTTGTTCTCCTCCATCTCCCCTAACTCATCTATCCTCTCAAGTTACCTGGCTCTATTTTCCCATATGGACATTAACTACTGACTATGTGCACACCTTGTCTCTCTCTCCCCATTCATAATTTTGCAATTTCTTTTGGTAGAGGATGAGGGGTAGGGCTTGAACTCAGGCCTTTGTCTGTTTGCTTGGCTTTTTTTCCTCAAGGCTGGTGATCTATCACTTGAATCACTTTTCCACTTCCTTGGTCAACATTTGAGATCTTTACAACAACCCAATAGGGTTGACCTACATTATTCTCCTTTTACAGATGAGTAAATTATGTTTCCAAACGGTCAAATGAATTATGAAAATAAGAGCAGGGCGCTGGAGCCTCAGACCTGCAATCCTAGCTACTTGGGAGCCCTGAGGATTGAGGTCCAAAGCCAGCCCAGGCAGGAAGGTCCATGAGACTCTTATCTACAATTACCTATCAAAAAGCTGAAGTGGAGATGAGGCTCAAGTAGTAGAGTGCCAGCCTTGAGTAAAGCTAAGGGGTTAGGATCTGAGTTCAAACCCCAGTCCTGACACACAGAAAAAGGGGCAGGGGGAGAGAGCACGAGAGAGCATGAGAAGGAGGGAGGGACAAAGGAAAGGAGAGGGAAGGAAGAGGAGGGAAAAGAAGGAAGAAAGAAAAAGCAAAAGATAGAGAGAAGCCAGGATAGTTACCTGACTTTCTGTGTCAGCCTCCAGCAGCTTTGGTAGTTGGGGTACAAGACTTCAGAGCTTGCCTCATCGGTGTGGATGATGATGGGGCCTGTAAGGAAGGTGGGAAGCACAGGTGTGAGGGGCTTTGGCTTGCTCTTACCAGCATCCCCACTTTCTGCTTCTCTCTGCTTGCAGGCAGAAGTACTCCAAGACACATCGCAATGCCACTCCACACTGAGGGCCACACTGCAGCCATGCCTACAGCAATCCTACAACCCAAGCACGAGAAAGTACAGAGCAATGCCCTTCCAAGACCTCAGAAGACCAGAGCGAGCGGGGACAGACCTGGATGAGGCCAGCACTGCTCTGGCCCCAGCACTCTAAGGGCTCAAGCATTTGAAGAGAGTGGCTTCTCCTTAACTTGATCCCAACTAGGTTCTTTTTATTGCTTCCCAAAGTTCAATCCCATAGGCCAGTGTGGTGACCAATCACATGACAAATGGAGAAAGCTTCTGGGCCACACATCCTCTCACATTCCAAAATAACTCTAGTCTACAGCTGGGGCCCATGGCTCATGCCTGCCATCCTGCTCAGAAGGCTGAGATCTGAGGATCGCTGTTTGAAGCCAGTTTAGGCCAAAAGTCTGTGAGACTCTGATGTAACCACCAAAAAGCCAGAAGTGGAGCTGAAGCGCAAGTGGTAAAGCACTAACCTTGAGCAAAACAACTAAAGGCCAGAGCCTAGACCCTGAGTTCAAGATCTACTACTGGTACCAAAACAATAGTAATAATAATAATACTATGATGCAAACCTCTACCAGAACCCTACACACTATAAACCTCTTCTATTCCACCTGCAGCTGGAATATTGGTACGATAGTTTAGGTTAAATAAAACACTCAAATCTATCTGGAAGGAGTGAATGACTAAGCGAGGAGATCAGCAGTCCCCACATTCCTTCTGATTCTCAGTAGCTCACATATAACCATCTAGCACTTTCCCAGAGATTTTAATCCCAAAGCAATCTCCAAAGCTGCATTATTTCCATTAGCGGCAGCATTTGCTGGCGTTCTTTGGCTCATTCAAGCCCCTTCCTATTGTGAAAGACAAAATATTGGCTGTGACAGTCACACTGGAGTCCCAATATCTTAGGGTCCTGGATGGGGAGTCACGGCCCAAGTGGCAAAGTTCATGCCTGCAGATAAGGGGCCACCCACCAAGAAACAAATTCTCAGTCACACTCCTGTTGTTTCTAGAAAGAAGACATTTGCCTCTTAGAGACTGATGCTCATGATCATCTGAAATTCAGATCCACAATGAAATACAGATTTGAATACTCACAAATGACACTATGCCTCTCTGGATCACCTAAGGCCCTCAACACACAGGACCCATGTGAGGGAAATAAACGAAGTCCCTGGGGATGGAAAGTTGCTGACTGCAATCCTCCTCTGGTTGGCCATCTCAAAACCCCAGAGAAAGGTTACGCTGGAGAGAATGTTCTAGAAAATAAGTAGACCCAGAAGTCACAGGTGCAGGAGAAGAGAGATTAAGGGAACAGACACCAACAGAGAGAAGAGGGGCTTTGGAAGTTTCTCAGAGTGACCAGGGATTATCCTTTACATCCCAAACACAAACCTTCTTTCTGACGCTGGAAAAGCCCAGCCAGCAAACATCGAGTAGACTCCAGGTTCCGGAACATGTTGGTGGAACGAACACTGGGAGGGAAAAATGAAAAGACAGAGATGCTCATCAAAAAGATGCTGGGCCGCTGGGAACAAGAAGCTCCAGGTGCTGGTGGCTCATGCCTGTAATCCTAGATACTCAGGAGGCTGAGATCTGAGGATTGCGGTTCAAAGCCAGCCCAGGCAGGAAAATCCATGAGACTCTTATCTCCAATAAACCACTCAGAAAATCTGTACTGTGGCTCAAGTGGTAGAGAGCTAACCTTGAGCTGAAGAGCTGAGGAACAATGCCCAGGCCCAGAGTTCAAGCCCTACAACCAACAACAACAACAACAAAAAGTTCCAAGCCTTTCAAGACCATATTAGGCCAGGCAAAGTGGCTCACAGCTGTAATCCTAGCTACTCAGGAGGCTGAGATCTGAGTACCACAGTTCAAAGCTAGCCTGGACAGGAAAGCCCATGAGACTCATATCTAATGAACCACCAAAGATCCAGAAGTGGAGCTGTGGCTCAAGTGGTAGAGCACTAGCTTTGAGTGAAAAGCTAAAGGAGAATGCCCAGGCCCTGAGTTCAAGCCCCAGTACCTACCTACCTACCTACCTACACACACATACACAATCAGAATTCAAGAAGTGAATTTCCCAGATGGAAATATCAACCCAAAACTCCTTTGTACAATTAAGTATACACTATTTTTTTTCAAAGAGAGACCACAAAGAAATGACATCAAGAATGTAAACCTGGAAGGTTTTACTCCCTATGAGATGGCAGTCCCTTTGGGACTGGAAGGCCAATGAATGGGACCTCTACTGCCCAGCTGTTCACAAGCTCCTGGGACTTGCACTGTCTCCCTAATGGTGGGAACTACCTGGGAACTACCGAGAGGGGCAGGACAGGTGTCCCTCCTCCATGCTCAAGACCTTAAATGAGGTGCCATGTCCCTTGTCTTGGTGACTCACAAGACCTCCTGTGGGTTGAAGGCTGGTGAAAGAAAGGGGGTGTCTTCCACATAGCTCTTGCGCAGTCTCTCCCCCAGGGCAAACATCTGCTGCATGCCCACTTTGGTCAGCTGCCCAGCAAACATGCCTCCCTGCAGAGGGAAGAGAGAGAGAGAGTAAAACGCTTGCCGACCTGCAGGGTCCCGCTCAGAGGAGGAAGCATCCCTGCTCACCTTCAAGGTGGTCTTGTGGTACTGAGAGTCATAAGGAGAATGTGGTTTCGGGCCACCAGCAAGATTGGTGACTGTGTAATCAAGCTGGGTTTGGGGTGGGACCTCTAAGAGCTGGGGGTTCCACTCTACCTGTTGTGACCATTAAAAAAAAATGTTAAAAAAAAAAAAACCTGGTGCTGGTGGCTCACGCCTGTAATCCTAAAGACTCAGGAAGCTGAGATCTGAGAATAAAAGTTTGAAGCCAGGAAGTGGTGCTGTGGCTCAGATGGTAGAGCGCTAGTCTTGAGCTGAAGAGTGAAGGACAGCACTCAGGCCCAGAGTTCAAGCCCCACGACCGACCAAAAAAAAAAAAGCTTGAAGCCAGACTGGACAGGAAAGTCTTGTGAGACTCTTTTTTTTTTTTTTTTGGTCAGTTGTGGTTTTCTCGTGGTTTACTAGAGGTAAGAGTCTCACAGACTTTCCTGCCTGAGCTGGCTTTAAACCGTGATCCTCAGATCTCAGCCTCTGGGGTAGCTAGGATTACAAGCGTGATCCCTGATGCTTGGCTTCTGTGAGACTTCTGTCTCCAATTAACTACCCCAAAGCCAGAAGTAGACCGGTGGCTCAAGTAGTAGGGGGCCAGCCTTAAGCAAAAACAGCTCAGGGATGGCTCCCAGGCCCCAAGTGTTCATGCTGCAGGACTAGCAGGACATAAACAAATACATAAATAAAATAAATAAATGTTAAAAATGGTTGAAAACTCAGAACATTAACCTCCAGCGCCCTCCTCCCCATGGAACATAAGGCTAGGAGGATAAACTTTTAACTGGTATCTATGCCTCAAGCCTATAATCTGAGCTACTCAGGAAGCTGAGATCTGAGGACTTAAAACCAACTGGGGCAGGAAACTCTATAAAACACATCTCCAATTAAGTAGCCCCAGTACTCACTCACACTGACACACACACAAGATATTATTCCTTCTTTCAGTTAGCCATCGCTCCTTCTTTCCCTGACCCTTTGGATAAAACCCTACAAGGTTCAGAGTGGTCTGGTGGGGCGGCCGCTTCCCCCAGTGTACCCCCTCCCCCCAATTTTCTTCTCTGCCCTCAATACTTCATCTCAGGCCACACAATGTGGTTTCCCTTAGCCCTGTTCTCACACCTCCTGGGCTTTCAACAGCATGTTCCTTCTACCTAGATTTTGTTTTTTCTCTCTTACTGAGAAGACTCTTGTTCATTCCAAAAGACTCAATAAGCCCTCACCTGAGCTCACCAGCTCTTTGGCAGCCTTTACTAGATTGTCTTGCTCAGTAGTCTTAGCTTCATGAGAACAGAAACTAGGTCATCTATTGACCCTGATAGTCCACATCTCCCTCCCCCGCCTCCCCGCTCGCAAAGCCCCGGCACACCACAGTTACAACGAACAGTTCTGCCAATGTGCCAGGCCCCGTGGAAGACACCAAGCTTGGGGCACCTTGATTCTGCCTTTTCTGGGTTCCTTTCTGTTAGTAGAGGAAGCGAGCTATGAATGCAAATGAACACAAATGACAGCAACACCATAATGAAGTGATGCAGCCAGGGCTTGGGGGCTCACACTTACCCTAGCTACTTAGGAAGCTGAGCTCTGAAATAATGGTTCAAAGGCAGCCCAGGCAGGAAAATCAATGAGACTCTCATCTCCAACTAATTACCAAAAAGCTGGAACTGAAGCTGTGGCTCAAAGTGGTAGAGTGCTAGCCTTGTGCACAAAAGCTCAAGGACAGTGCCCCGGCCCTGAGCCCAGGACTGGCACTAGCAAGCACACACGCACACAAACACACACACACACACACACACTAAACAAAACAAAGTAGAAAATGTGCAAGAAACCTGATGAAGGCCCTCATTGTTCAAAGGCAACAAAGACTTTCTCTTTTGGCTATATATCATGATTAAGAGGCCACAGGCTTACATCTGTAATCCTAGCTACTCAGGAGGCTGAGATCTGAAGATCAAGATTCAAAGCCAGCTCAGGCAGAAAAGTCCCAAGAACTCTTAGCTCCAATTTACCAGCAAAAAGCTGGAAGTGGAGGTGTGGTTCTGCCTAGAGCAGAAAAAGCCAAGTGAGAGTACAAAGTCCTGTGTTTCAAGCCCCAGAAACTTAATAATATAGCAATATTTAAAATGTGGTAAAACAATCAACTCAAAGTAGGTAACAAATACAAAGGCAAGCAAACAGAAGGACAAAAATGGATGCAGTAACAAGATTAAAAAAAAAAAGTACACCACAATCCATACACTTGTCATGGGTGAGCAGCATATTTGACACAAAGCTCCTGGCATTTCTGTAAAAGAAGAGCTCAGCCAGACAGGAGTTTAAAGATAAAAGCAAGCCAGCAGCTCGGAAGAAGCACACCACTGCTAATGCTAACAGACAAATTCCTCCCAGGGGCCCTCAAAAAGGGAGAGTGATATGGTGAACATCTTCCCAGCAGTCACAGCAGTGTGTTCTGCAGGACTGTTGTTCCAGGTTCTCTCAGCACAAACGATAACATCCCACCAAAGATACTCTGCGATGAAAGCCATGCCAAACAGTGGGATCGATCTGCTGCATTCCAGGCCAAAGGGGGAAAAATATCTACCAAAACAAAAACTTCCCAGATAGAGGTTTTAGAATAAAGCAGTAGTTTTGAGCCTTGGCTACCTACTGACATCACTGAGATTTTTTTTTTTAAAGTTATTCATATCTGAGCCTCATTCTGGACTATTCACACCTGGATCTTCCTAGGTTGGAGTCTCCACTTTTACTAATTAATTGATTCGTTGGCCAGTTAATCAGTTGGTGGGACTGATGTTTAAACTGCGGGCCTCACGAGTCATTCTTCCAAGCTCTTTCTTTTGTTAATATAACTTCACTTTTTGCACGGGCCAGTCTGCACCTCAATCCTATTTACAATTCCTACATAGGTAGGGTGAAAAGCATGCATCATTGCACCCAGTTTTTTTTTTTTTTTATTGGTTAGATGGGAGTCTGAAACTTTCTCCCTGGGGTAGTCTCATATTGTGAGCCTCCCAATCTTGAAGTAGGGCGGGGAAGTCTCCACTTGTAGAGTCTAGATCATTCTAAAGCTTCACCAGAAAATTTTTTTACAATGTCCAGATATCCTAGGCCAACTAAATTACAGTCCCAGGGAGGAAGACCCAGGCATTGAGAGAATGAGGGACTGTAAAGGAAAGAGTATATGAGACTCCCTCTTAGGCGGCCAACTCCATGTTCAAATGTGGAAAGCCCCCTAGAGCCTGACCATCTTGAGAAAGAGTGTGACCCTAGGGGGCCAGATCAGCAGAATGTGGCCTTGATGGGCTAAAAATATACAGCCTCCTTCCTCCTGTTTGGCTTACTTTTACAAAATTGATGTGGTCAGGATTTGAGTCAGCAGCACAAAAAGAAACAAGGGCAACCAATAGGGCCACAATTTTAGCCAGCTTGTTCAATACCTTCCCTGTAACAAAAAACAACAACAAAAAACCTAATGAAAAACCTCCAAGTATCCCTGACCACATAACAGACCAATCAGTATAGAAAGGGATAGGAACCCCACCAATTCTCCAATTCTCCCTATTTAATCTGAGGCCACACTCCGTCACAGTGAAGAGGGTACAACATGGCTGAGGTGGGTGGGCTGAAGTGCTACCTTCATACTGCTGTCTATGCACAGGCTCTTTATCTACCTTCCCTCTCCCCCCCCCCCATTCTCTCTTTTCTTTTTGTCCCAGTACTGGGGCTTGAACTCAGTGCCTGGATGCTGTCCCTTACAGTTTTTTTTTGCTCAAGGCTTTACTACTGCTTGCTCTACTACTTGAGCCACAGCTCCACTTCCAGCTTTTCTGTTGGAGTCTCATGGATTTACAGACCTTGACTCTCAGATTTCAGCTTCCAGAATAGTTAGGATTATAATCATGAGCCACCAGAGTCTCTCCTTATTTCTTTCCTAAACTTTTCTATCACCTTTCCTATGTTTGCATCTTTCCTGTATTATTCTTTTACCAGACAGAAGACCTGGCCTGTGCAGCTCATATCTGCAATACTAGCTGCTTAGGAGGTCAAGATCTCAGGAGCATGGCTTGAAACAAGCTCAGGCAGAAAAATCTGTGAGATTCTAATTCCAGCAAAAAGTCAGAAGTGGAGGTATGGCTCATGTCAATTTAGTTAAATTTCTAGTAACATTTGGTACATGGGCTAAGAAGTTAGGATTAAGAGTGTCTTTCTGATTTTGATACACCAAAAGATAACATAAATTAAAAAAAAATTCTCCAGTTAGTTGAGTTCAGTGTCCTACCATAGTTCAGAACAATCAATAATACAACAGAATGGATGGACTGACCTGTATTTCTTTCATCCAGAGCTTCCTAAATGCCACTTCTCACTAGAACCAGGACATTATGTTCTTCCATATTGTCAAATAAACCAAGATCAAAATCCCTTAACAGGCTGGTTGCTGGTGGCTTATGTCTAATTCTAGCTATTCAGGAGGCTGAGATCTAAGGAAGCCAGCCCAAGCAGACTCTTATCTCCAATAAATCAGCAAAAAGCCAGGAGTGAAGCTGTGGCAGAGCACCAGCTAAAGCTAAGAGACAGGGCCTAGGCCCTGCATTTAAGCCTCAGTTCTGTCCCACTCCACCCCACCAACAAAGCCTTACCACCAATGGAGCTGGAGTAAACTGAACTTAAAAACAATTTGTCTGGTGGGAACCAAGTTGCCACTGTCTGAGCAGGAGCAAAGTGGATCTGGAAGCAGACCGAATCTTTTCCTTTAAAAAGAATCCTGGATCTACTTTAAAGAAAAATGACCACTCAAGCTTCATAATTTTACTACCAAAGAAACACAATCATCTAGTACGACAGGTTATCCCAAAAGCTATTCAAGCAGTGGGCCTGACTCACACCTGTAATCCTAGCAACTCAGGAAACTGAGATCTGAGGATCAAGGGCCTGTCTGCCTAGCCACTTGGGCAATGTAGGTAGGAGGAGAGAAGTCCAAATCCTTGAATTCAAACTCTAACAACATCACTCACACATACACACGCAGAGGATATGTAAAAGGAGAGCCCCAAGACACAGGGTGTGTTACCACAAAGTTTTCATGAGATCTCAAATGGTCTGCAACAAACCCTGGGGAGTCCTAAAACCTCTTCCTAAAAGCGTGCCCTCTGTTCTGCACTGTGACCGCACTTAGGGAGGTTCTTGTTACAAAGGTCCCTGCAACTCTTGGACAAACGGGCGCCCACAAGTGTGCCTGCACCAGGTACGAAAGTGCTAAGCAAAGTTCACCCAGACACTAACGAAAAGCGCAAGCTTTCTGGCCATAGCCGCTGACTCGGAACCAGCACTGCCTGCCCCTGTGCCAGTCCTGGGGTTTGAATTCAAGGCCTGTGAGCCGTCCTAGGGCTTTTCAGCTCAAGGATAACGCTCTACCTAATTTGAACCCCAACTTGGCTTCAGGCTTTCTGGTGGTTCACTGTTGGAAAGAGTCCCCAGAACTTTCCTCTGTGGGCTGGCTTCGAACCGTGATCCTCAGATCTCAGCCTCCTGAGTTGATAAGATTACAAGCGTGAGCCCGCGGTGCCCGACAGAATCTGCATTTAAAAAAGGTCCCCAGGCGATTCCCAGAGGTCACCATCCTAGCCCAAGGGTCCCCGGAGAAGGGGATGGGACGGGTGCGGGGGGACGGGGGGGAGATGGGACGAGGGGCTGGGGGGACTGAGCGCACGAGTTGGCGCCCAAGCCAGACCGAGGAAGAACCGGCTACTCCGGCCGGCCCCGGGTCCCGCCCTGCCCCGCCCCTCACCGGCTTCCAGGCCACGACCTCACCTGCTCCTCCAGCGGGAGCTGGTGGAGGGGACTCCGCGCCCCGTGGCGGAACACCACCTGCACCATCCTCAGCTCCAGCTCGCGGCGGTCAGCCGGGCACCGGCCATCGGCCGCCCGCTGCTCGGCCTGGGCCACCCGCCGCCGGTGGAGGCAGAAGGCCAGCGAGGCCAGG